AACCGGATCCGTGGTCTTGTGCCTAATTGGTTGTGGAAGAGCACTCTTCTGCGTTTGAACCTTTCTTTCAATGAGATTGATTTTCCATGTGGTGATGCCAATGCTGCGGTCGTTGTATATACAATCCTGCAATAAAAGTACATACCCAGAGATTTCAAAAGGTCAATGGAATTCAGAATTTCTAGACCTTTCTAATAACAAAGTAAGTGGCACAGTACCAAACTCGGTGTGGAGAAGAAGTTTGGATCCTCTGTCTCTTTCTAGCAATCATCTCTCATATTTGGACCAATTTTTACCCGAGGAGTCTCTTAACTTCTTCTCAATGGTCTTTACCAAGATTCATTTGCAATTTCACTCGACTGCGGTATTTGAGTGTATCCAATAACAAATTCAGCGGCTCAATTCCAAATTGCTTGGAAAATATCACTACCCTCTCTTTTTTGCGACTAGGAGGAAATAACTTCACCGGAATGTTACCAAGATCATTAGCCAAATGCACTCAGCTCGAAGTTTTGGTTGAAGAAATTGCCTGCATTAGAGGTTCTCATATTACCACAAAATATATTTTTTGGTCAAATTAAAAGTTTTGAACGAAAAAATCTTTTGGAGATGAGTACTATCACGACTCCGTGACAATTGTCAATAAAGGAAATGCCATTTTCTATGAGAAAATTTTAGACCTGTTTACTTTGTCTTGATCTTTCCAACATAGTTTCCATGGGAGAATACCAGAAGAAATACGGAATCTGATATCACTCAAGGTGCTAAACTTATCCGAAAATAGCTTCTCCGGCCAAATTCCACTGGGACTTGAGAACTTAAAAGAGCTCGAGTCTTTGGACTTCTCACTAAACAAACTCTCAGGGAAGATTCCTCCGCAACTTACGAGTCTAACTTTCCTTGAAGCACTTAACCTATCTTACAACCAACTTGAAGGGATCATACCACAGAGTAACCAATTCTTTACATTTTTGAATGATTCTTACCAAGGGAACCCAAGACTATGTGGGCCGCCTTTGACAAGGAATTGCGATGAAGTTGGTTTTCCACTGCCACCTCCAGAGGAAGATGCAGATTCATTGATAGAAGGTATATCTGATTGGAAAATCGTGATGATCGGGTATGGATGTGGTTTAGAGATTGGGTTATGTATTGGATATGCAGTGCTGAATGAGATGGGAAACAAATGGCTTGATAGTTTTAAAGGGAATGGTAAAAGGAAACGGAAAACATCTAGGTGACTCCATCGGAATTCATCTTTCAAAGTCAGCAGGTAAGAATTTCCTTTTGAAACTTGACAATCTTTTGAAAATTGAAAAGATAGTTGCTGCAAACTAGAATATTCTTTGAATTTCCTGAGCTCATTTTATTTGTCCTTACAAGGTTCACTATCAGATCATAAATTTGTTCTCATAACATTGACTTTCATTGTCACTAATTTTGTTACAATTTTACAGTGCAGGAATTAGAAACATGACATGGCAGGTAGAACAGCGACTGTGCCTACCTCTTCAGTCGCACGACAAGAACAAACATCTACTAACAACAGAATAATCTTTAACAGACCAAGCTCAAGCAAAGATCCTCTGTTGCTGTATTAGTTCAGCCTGTATCAATGCACCGAAAAGATGAAAACAGAAGAACAAAGCTTCCAATTCTAAGTATCAAGCACCACATCTCCAAACTGACTTTGATTACTTTTTCTTGTCCCCAAGAGAACTATGGATTTGTGTACGGCCCAGAAGGATTGGAATATTGTTGAGAATTCAGTGCAGAACCATGAACAAGAGAAGAAAGTAAAAAGGATATGGAATTGGCTGGAAATGTCACTGGAGATTCATAGTCATTGGAAAACGTGGACAAGTAAAAGAGAGACTGAGATCTGTGATGGGAATGACAATGCTTTGTTGAGGCTGGGTCCGAGATCATGATGAAGTGAGATGAGATTGTTCTAGTGTATGTGTCATTCTTTGAAGCCAAACCATTTTGGTGGCCGCCCTCCTTGTACGAAATGGCATATTTCGTATCAGAGATCCAGGTATGGATCTCCATTACTAAGACGATAGGTTTTCCCCAAACCTTTTATAGCTAATTTCATTGTAATTTTTTGTTTTCGTAAGATTCTACATCCCTTTCTTACAATCTTCATTTCTTTGATCTCTCCTTATTCTGCCCAAATTAAGTTTATGCGTATTAAAGACTTGATTGTTTCTAGTAAAAGTAACTTCATCCTTGTAATTTTCAAGCTGGTGACTTAAGAGGACAATAGGGCCTACAGTTTGTTGCGTATTGCACGGAAGAGCAAGCGTAGATGGTCGCAATACATTTCAGAAAAGGATATGAATTATGAATACAGACTCGTCTCACCTTAAGAAATTGCTGCTTCAGCTGCATCCTACGTCCAGTCAAAAGCAGAAGGCCTTATTCCCCCAGCTTCAATTCATTGCAAGCGTGGTGGTGGTGGTAATGATTCGCATTTGAAAGTGAAAACTGCCCCAAAGCAAGACAGCAAATTTGTATCAGGTATCAGAGGTGACCAATCAACATGGAGCATCAATAAAAGACTACTTTGAACAGAGAAATGCAAGAGGCGCCGAAGGACCGTACTTGTTTGCAATGATGACTTGCATACACTCCACTTCTTAACTATTCAAGTAAATCCTTTTTATTCTCTATCTGTCAAATATACATTGCTCTGCCAAGCATTGTTCTGATAGAGCAACTAATCCATAATTAGAATTCAAATAACACAATCTGGATATCTGTGTTACACTTTTCCCATTTTCCTCCAGAATCTAATTACTACATTTTTAGTTGCAGCCTTGCAGTGACCAAACTCGTGGCATCTTGGCAGTCAATCCTCTTCTTTGAATGAAATACATTTGCAGTAAGCATCAATCTGGAGTCTGAATATTCTGAATGGAAACGCCACAAAGTGAACTTCTTAAGACAAACTTCAGACCATAGGAAGCTACTATCATTCGGAATGTGTTGGTGTTCTTGTAGGGAATAGAAGTGCTTCCAAAGAGTATATAAGAACAATTCATGGCAGCAATTATGGACCCTTAGAAGGGGCAGCCTTTCTCTGGTAATCAACTTGACGCTATAAACTAGGAAGGTGGTCAAGTCTTCTGCATTGTGCAATTTATAACCTGCTTTTAGTTTTAGCTCAGCTTTTATGTTTGGAAGTTTCGTGCAGCTGAAAGATATTTGGTGACTTGGGGTTGACGAAAGCCACATTGGACAGACTGATTAGGCTATATAAAGACTTTGCCACTAGAGGCTTCTCCTACAGCTACCTTCTCCCGTAGCCTTAATTCTTGCTCTTGTCAACCCATCTCTAATTCCAAATGTAAGTATCAACTAGAAAAGTACTTTATTTGCGTGATTTTGGTAATTAGAAAATTTTAGAGGGTAAAAAGAAAACAAAAGGTCATACTAAGAAAATGATATATAAATAAAACTGCTTTAAGGGACAAAAATTACTAGAACCCATTTCTTGAGTTTAAGTTTAGGTTTGACAGCTGATTTCACTAACTCTTTTTTGGTCTTAAATGCAGAAACTATTATTTGTTCGACTAAGAGTATCGTTCATTCTCCTGCTCCCTCCCTCCAGGGAATGCTTTCAATGCAGTTGGACAGCACCAAGTATCACAGCTTTTGGTTAGCTGTCCCCACCCAACTGAAACTATCTGGTGTCTTACAGATGGAAACTCAGTGAACTATCATCCTAAAAGATCATGACTCCATAAGTAGGTGCATGGAGACATGGAGACATGGACTCTGATCTAATCAAGCTGAATTCTTGGCTAAAGAACTGCTAATTCTCACAGGGTTGATAATGCACTGCCAGCTGCAGGTGGAAATACAGGGTTCATTGGCATCTTAGGAATGCCATGAATATTCTTCAGTTCTAAGAAAAGAATAAAATTTTCTACCATTCAACAACTTGTAGTAAAATTTAGTATATACACTACAATTTTCAGTTGATTCTGAATTACATATCATTGTCTATTCATTTATGCTTATTCATCTATCTGTTTTAATTTTTAGTTATAGTTTCTTGTTTAATTGTTTTAAATCGGACAACTTAAGGAACTTCACATAAAAAGACTCTACCTAATCACTACTCCATTTACAAAAAGGGTAAGATTTTTGCAAGTATAAGATATGACAAAGATTTAGTTATTAACCAGAGATGTGAGATGAAGAATGAGATCAAAATTACATAGGAAAAAGTTAATTTATTATTACATAGATAAAAAACGATTAAAGTATACAATTAAATGACAAAGACAAATCAATTTGAAAATACAGTTTCTTATGTATATAGAGAAACCAAACTCCAAAATCTAACTCATCATGTACGGTTAACCACAATCAGGAGTACGCTAAAATACATTTGATTCTAAAGAAACAACCAAACAAATCTGTTTTAATGGGCATACATATATAGGTAAATGTTTAGTCTAGATCAAAACCTATTCAAAAGAAAAAAAAATGAGAAGAAATTAAGAACATCAAGGGAAAAAAGATAATTAGATAATGAAAGGGTACAAAACAGACCCTCCATTCATATAGAAATGTTAGGATTCATCAAATCTATTGAAATTTCTCAATGGGAAAAACAACAAAATTCTTAACCAGATCAACCAACGTATGATGCCAACAAACCGCATGAGACCTGAACTCTTGCACTAGCTTGGTTTCAATATGGAAGGGGGAAAAATAAAAGAAAAATGCTATTGTGATGATAACAATACAATCATTTTATTCCAAATAATTTGAATTAGGCGAACTACCAAAAAAATAAAAAGGGTAAAAAATAAAAATGGAAGAAGAAAAGAGTTTTGGGAGACCATAACTTTACTCTAAAAGTCACCGTACTGATTCAACTGAACTACCATTACCAGATGAACATTGTCAAAGGAACAACATAACAATTGCAAACACTATGGAATAAATATATGAGGATAGGATGATTTTTTTTCCCACACTTTATAAGGAGGATAAGTTGGTAGCTGCATGAAAGAAAAGCATGCTCACCTAAATACTAAAGCACATGCTCGCAGCAACAATGATTTTCAAAAACTCAATCACTGCATTATCTAAAATTTTGCCCAAGCTCTAGCAAAGCATTTCCTTTAAAACAATATAAAAGAGTAGTGAATCTTCTACTACAACAATAAACAAAGAAATAAACATGTTTGTAATTGCAGAAGTTGTAGCAAAACATCAATGAACTTATCGTTTACCCTCTTCGGCCATCTTTCTACGTATCTCATGAGCAGTATTAAAAATACCAAGGGTGGGTTGGTTGCAAACAAAGCACTTCTTGTTCTTCGCATGATGCTGAAAAAACAAAAGATAAAACAGTTGGTTAGTTTATATTCGAGCGAGAATAAAAATGAAAACTATGGTAATGACATAATACAGATGTGAGGCACCAAAAATTGACAAATGTAAAGTGAAAATATGTCCTATTCCTATAACTGCAAACAAGTTTGACCATATAAAATATTTTTTTTACGTTAGTAACCAAAAAAGTTTTTCACTCTAATGCATGAACAATAATATAACAAAAATTAACAGATATTGAATTGAGCAAACACAACACACAGACACACACAAAAATTAAATTTACATGAAAGGGCAATATGAGGTAACCTTCAAAGCACAATGCTCGCAGAAGTAGTGCTTGCACTTAGTAACAACAGGATCCACAAAAGGCTGCCGGCAAATAAAACATGCAAAGGGTAATGAATCATCATCATCATCATCACTCTGGTTTAACCCTGCCTCATCATCATCTTCGCCACCCAAAGCCAAATTTCTCTTCCTTGCTTTCTCTGCTTCTTCCCATTCCTTCTCTAACTGCCACCCAGACTTGTAATCTCCACGATCATGCATAAACTTACATGAATCTCCGTAACCACAGTAACCAGTTTCTTTGTAGTCTTTACAAATATCTGGCTGATAATCAAATCTTGCTGACACCCTGATGTGGGCAGAAGCCCTAAGAGGTCCATGTGACCCACCAGCTTTCTCACTGGCAATTGTTTGCTCTCTTCGAAACCCCGCCTTATGATCCACATAACCATGCATTCCCTTATACAACTTCTCTCCACCAGAGCTTGTATTTTTCCCCTTTAAAACCTCCTCTGATTGTTTAAGAACTTTCTCACGTATAGCTCGAGCATCTTTTGTAACCTCAGTCTCAGTTTCTAAGGTTGCTGTTGCTCTGCTATCATTTTGAACTTGAATTTCCCTTGAAGACTCAAATTGGAAAATTCGTTTGTCAGATTCTATATTTGATTCAGTGGCAGCAGCACTCTTGGAGGGTCCAGTTGAAAAGTATAACTTATTATCAGGCTTCAGACTCTTTTTATGGTTCTGCAACAGAGATGTTTCATTTCTGGAGTCTTCATCTTCATCTTCGTTTATTGTCCTTTTCCTTATGTTTTTGCCCTTTGTTGGCTTCCTAAAGAAATTGCAGACTGAAAAATCAAAAAGTTAGCTATACCTATACAGGAAAAATAACCGTATATACCTTTAAAAATAATAAAAGGAACAAATTTTACCTTGTTCAGACTGCTGAGGTTCTGTTTCAGATTGCCGTGGTTCTTTTCCTGGATACTGGGACTCATTTGAATCTGTCATCTTAATGGAAACAAGAGCAAAGGTTTGTAGATTCCTTGCGTCAAGCAAGATGAACTTCAATTTGCTCACAATTGTTGCTCCAATCACCTGAAAGAAGGTTTTAGAATAACATCAGTTAAAATCTTTACTATTAATTAAACCGACTATTGATCTACGATCAAAATGCTAATCATAGGCAGAACATAATTTCTATAGATAGGATCACACTTTCTGTCATGAGAATGAAACTAAATTCATAATTTGAAGTGGTTCCCGATAGAAGATACTCACGAGGATCATATGTCATCACATTCTGCACTTCTAATCATCATTATAACCACAATTACGTTGATAATTGCACAGGTTAATTTCATCAAGAATACAAAAGCTAAAACAAAGAGACGAAATAAAAAAGACATCATTAACAACTTTATCGTGAAAAATTACATGGAAGTTCATAATTTTATAACCCTAAATTCGAATAAAACTTTACTAGATTCAATATAGTTTTCATGAATTTAGCAAAAGAAAGTTTTTTTTTTACCTCAAAAGTCTAAAATCTCTAAAACCACAAAAGAAAAGAAAAACAAACCCTAGATCGAAAACAAAAGAATCACTTGACTCAGAATCATAAAATTTAAAAATCTAGAGACAGGGATTAAAAATTTTAAAATTCTTCAGTCCTAGTTACCTTTATAATGGCGAAAGATAAAGAAACCGGTGGACTGACTTGCAGCGGCTGACGAACACGGTAGAGGGAAAGAATAGGTATTGTTGTCGGAGGCAGGTTGCGTTACCCGAGAACTTTGGAGCGAGCGGTGGTGGCGTTGGTGGGGTTCACCGTTTGTGGTGGTAGACGCCGTAAAGAAAGAAAAGAGCAGGCTGGGAATTTTACAATTGGGCTGGATATTCCTAAATTTAAGGCCCGATGGTTTAATGAATTGTGCCCGAATCCAAATGGGATTCGGATTCCAGGAAGTTGCCTTCTGTCTGACCTGTATTTGACCCGTATCCACTCTTTTGGTTGTCGATTTATGTCCCTTTTTTTGGGCAAAAGTGGATTATGTTCTTTAATTATTTCAAACCTTAATTAATACGTATTTATAAAAAGCAAAACAAAAGTATTCACAACCTTAGTTCACTCCTAAATAAGATTAATTGTAAAAAAATAGTTTTGATTTTGCTTTTGCTTTTGCTTTTTCTATATATGCATTCATTAATCCTTGAATTATTTTTATTTGTTAATCATATGTTCAATCAGACAAAAAATAAAATCATACACTTTCATTTTCATTTCTCCACATAAACAATGACCAATTAGCATTTTCTTATTCATTTAGATGTCTCAACTAAGCCTATTGTCATCTCAATATCTCATGTGTGTGTATATATATATATATATATATATATACTTGCAAAAATATTTTATTCTTTCAATTTATGCATGGCATACTTAGGTAGACTTGTTATGAAGTTGGAATAGTTATTAATTAAAAACGATTAAATAGAATTGCACAAAGTTGACAAAAATTGATAATTAAAACTCAATGGAAAAATTAATAAAAGTTAAAAGTTTGTTAAAAATTGAACTTTATATACAAACTTAGTCATTAGTTATTGAAGGGAGAAACTTAAATGTCATGATTCCTCTAAAAAAATATATCATAAGTGTGCTAGTACTCTAATACCTGTGATAATTCATTTGATAAAATTTTGTGGTGGCTTCATCTTTTTAATCAAAGAAAGAGTGCTGAGAGAAAGGGAAAAAAAATATTAATACTATTAGAGTGCAAATTCAGAAGACTAAACTAAGTGGAGCAGTGTTACATGACTTTACAGCATGGATGAAGAGTCCAGTCTTTTCTATTTTATCTCCTTTCAATCAAAACAGATTGCTGCCTTTAAACCAATACTTCTCCATTATCTGCTCCTCACTTCATTAGTCATGGGTCTGCTGAGAGTGATTACTTTTCTGCAATAACATACCAATAGAAAAAATTGGCACCCTTTTGACTCAAAGGTATGGAGACATATTTCCAAACACAATAGTTTTACTATATTGTTGGATGCTATTTGTAAACAAGGAATGATGGAGAAAGCTCAAGATGTACTAGAACTGATAGATCAGAAAATGTAAGATTATTAGCATACAATGATTAAGGATCTTTATTTTGATGGCAACAAAGGGTTTTCAAAACATATTTTATTAATAAAATTGAAGATTATATAGTATACTAATATATATTTTTAAATAGGATAAATATTTTTTAAGTTAATTTATTTATTAAAATTTAAAAACTTATAATATGTTCAAGTCAAAAGAGGAATTTGATTTTTTTTTAATATCTTTTTGGAATGCATGATAATTGATCAATTGATAGAATATATCAATTGGTACCATTTTTTAACATTATTATGTATAGTACAATACATATATGATACACGATTAAATGATAAAAGATATCTATTTATAATTTTTTTTATTAACATCACGACACATATCATATATGGTATGATATTAGTAACTATAGTTGAAATTACATAAGACTACCATAACCTAATACAAGACTAGATAACATTTATAACTTGATAATTGATATATAAGACCAGACCAAGTACAAAACTAGTCAACTTAATAGTTTATAGGTTTGATACTTTCCAAGTGTTGATATGGCTAAACTAATAGAGAATTCAGGGCAATTTGTACCATATATAGTGGTCTTGTCAAACGTTTATATATATAGAAAGAATGTGTTATGATTTTTGCTGCTACATATTCTTAGCAATAGTCCCATCATATGGCAATCCTCTGCAACTTTTCTTTGCTCCGTCAGATTTCCTATTAAAATAGAAATCAACTGAATTTAGCTGAGAAAGTCTTAGCAGTTCGTTTACTTGATCACCATCAATGCCCCCACCAAGGTAATATTCATATCTTCATGCTTCTCACAGAAATTTGGATAAGGCAAGCATGGAGGAGATGCTCCAAAAGATTCAAAAATATGATGCTCTAAAAATGGAAATTCAGAAGAGAAGTAATGGAAAAGATGAGAATTCACCCACTATTACATGCTTTCCAGGATTAGATAGATTTGGAGAGCAACGAAACAAGGTGGTGCAATTTGACATGATTTTACATCTAAACTAGCACAAACAGCCATGGCATATGCAGGGGTACTTGGGAACAATAAAAAAAAAAAAGTGAAGCACAGAGAGAAAATGAACTACCCTGACCTCATGATTCTTCAATCTTGTACATGATTTTCTCTGTTGGAGACATCATCGAGATTGGGTGAAACTAGACTTTCAAAATATATAATGGAGTGAAACCAATCCCAATTATTGCGAATTGCTAAATCTTCAAGCCTTTGCTCTTGTGGATCGTACAGGACTAATCTCCATCCATCATAATCGATTACAAGCTTACCAGTTTTTGTGTAGCATAATCCAATCTGCCAGTATTTGAATCCAGGCAAAGGGTCAACTGCGGCGCTGAATAATCTAGTCCACGAGGACTTGACACCATGTTCCCTCATTAACCATCCTTCATAAAGAGTTTCACCGCATTCAATGAAAAGGCACAGGCAATCTCCCCAAACCCCCAACCCCATAGTTGCTACATAATGATTCTCGTGCATACGAGCTGGTAGTGGCACCACTTCTTGAAACTTCTCTTCTGCTAAATCAAATGAAATTATTTTAGTAAGACTACTTAGCCAATGCAGTGATCCTTTCAGGAAAATCCCACTTCCATCTAATTCCACGTCAATTTTGAGATCGGGAATTCTTCTCCAAACATTGGTTCTCATTGAAAAGACTTCAACAGTAGTTTTGTCAGAAACACTAGCAGGAGACCAGTGTCGGCGAGCAACACTTAATAATTTGTAATCATCAGTTGAGAAATCAAAGCCAAGACCATAAGATAAGGAACCATCACGAAGATGATGTTTTGGTTCAGGCAGCGGCCTTGATTCCCTTGTAGATGGATTCCATAAAATGAAATTCTTATAGTCCACAACTAAACATACCAAGCCATTACAAGACCCCGCAAAGTCAATTTCATATTCGACATCCTTCGTTATTGCTTCCGGATAATCAAGCTCCAATATTATCGCATTGCTGCCATCTTCAGTACCATGATAAGCTTCCAAATTTATCGACAGAAGAGGATTGGTGGAGAGAAGGATTCGGTGGGGGTCGATATTGCTGTCTTTCTGTGACTCTGCAAGGTGTAGTTTGGCAAACTGAGGATCAGAGATCAAAGATCGCCATGGCTTGCATACACACTTGGATCGAAGGAGACATTTGACTGGTAACCTTGACAGTATATTGGCTATAATGTCATGAGGGAGTTGAGAGATTGTTTCCATGGATCTTAGAGATATTGATATCTGCTTAATTTCTTCCCTTCTTCCTTGTGTAACCTAAAAAAGGTTGCAGCAACTTGACTTTTCCCTTCTGAAGCTTATAATGTAAGCCACGGCAGGCCACTAGCATATTAATTTTTGAAAGAGACATTAGAACGTAGTGCATTTTAAGTCAAACTTGGTGTAAGGATGATGCTTCCTTGTTTCTTCACTAGTGGCTTTGCATGAGACTGGCCTGGCCTAGGACCTGAGGGACCAGTCAAAGCTTTTGAAGAGTATTTGACACTGTTCCAAGTATTGATTAAAGCCACTGTTCCCAGTCTTGATATGGCTTGTAGCAGAACAAAAACCACATCCACCCAATTCTGTTTCTGATTGGATATCTTAAATTCTTTGCCAAATATTATTTGCTTTTTCCCTCCCTGAACTTTTTCTCAATGTTTAAGTTACTAGATCCTATAATCCAGCCAATATTTGTACCTATATCCAGCTAGGACTTTTGCTCAACTCAATTTCTTCAACACTGTTCTTTAATTTCCTAAAGGTGAAACGAAAAAAAGGTTGGGTGCAAGCAGCAAATTAGAATGAATGAAAAATGATACTCATCACAGAGCAAAATAACGATGTATATATGACAATATTATTAGAAGAAAGATGAAAAAAAAATACTTATTGTCAAGGAACAGTCAACGGAATACAATTGTAGAATTCTTGTGTATATTCCATGACTTAACCAGCCCAATACCTTACAACAGCAATAAATAACTGAAAACTGTTCAGTATGATAATTTTCAAGATGCAATACCTATAACTCAAATAGAGAAAAATATGTTTGCACTTTGTGTAGGTATCAATAACAATCATCTTAGAACAACATTTAACTTGCTCTGCACCTGTTCTCTCACGTTCCACTGCATTCACAATTATAAACATATTTTAGACTACATTGTCTAACCTTGAAAGAACACTTTAAGATTATAGGAATAGTAATATCAATAACAGTAAGCACAGAACGAAAGCACAGTAATACCTGCAGGTCATTAATCTCCTCATCTGTGAGTGAACGCTCCATGGACCGATATGCAATCCGGTAACAATGACTTGTCATCCCTTTCTTGTTGGTAAAGTTATCTATCAAACTCACCTGGTAGTAACAAAAATAAATATTATTATCGAACATACCTACCACAGAAGACCCTCAAATACTTCATATTATGATTGTTGAAAGATTTATGTGACAACCTACGTTTAATTAAAGCTAAACATGTACAAAACTTTCCATCATGTACAACACTGACCTGTTGATAGTGGTGCTTTAAGGCCTTTCCATGTAGAATTTAAAATATGCTTTGTACATCAATAAGATATCCTAGCAGACGAATCAGTCATCCACACCAGCCTTCAATGTGTGTATATTTTTTTCTTTTTGAAAATTTAATATACATTCAACACAGAGGGAAGCAATTGTTTGCCTCTGTAGCAACAAACAAGCAGATTCAACTCTGTTATTCCCTGGATTAGAGAATAACATCCTTGAATCATCCTAAGGATACCAGTACTCAAAAAACTATACAAAAGGAATGGGTTCCCTGGCTTTCCCCTTATCTGCCAGTCCCCCTCAACGTCATCAAAAACAATCAAGAACCTCAGCACCCTACAAAAAGAAAAAACAAAACACAAAATCCCGATTCCCCTAGGCTGAACAAACATCAATCGGTTCAACATAGTTACTCCCTATAATCTGTACATTCCAGCCTTCAATATACAAGGGAGTATAAATAATTACAATTGCTATGACAGAATCAGAGAAAAGATATTTTACCATGAAATCACAATCTCATACGTATAAAGCTATAATGCAAAACCACCAGTATCCAAAGCTTCGAATCCTTGTCATTTTTCTTTAAAAAAAATTATTGAACAAAAATTCCTTTATAACTGTCATTTGAGACACAACATTGGCTGACGGATAATTTCTATTTTATATAGAACACCTCAATTACTCCAGCATACATAACCATGTCCACTGGATACTCCCAAATTGTTTTATATAGCCCAGCTGTGGGGTAAAAATAAGTCATATTAAAAGAAAAACTAGAAATCTAACAATTGGGACAACTATTTTAAATCCAGAGTGTCATTTCTTATTTTCTTTAAAACTTCAATGATAAAGTCTTCGCCTAACAACAACTTGAGAAGCTACAAAATGTTTTGTACATCATTTACACTTTCCCAACACCACCAGCTGCTTTAGTTTGGTCATTCGTTGACATGACTTCCTCCACAGAAACCTAGCAACCTTATTTTCAGAAAAACAGATAAGAACCATTCCCATCCCAAGCCAAAGAAAGTAGAAGCAATCAATAGAGTTCATTTAGAGCCACTGAACAAATATACATATGAGATATTACTTATGTCAACTCCATTGAAATCAATTCTTTCTGTTTTTCTGTTAATAACGGATGAGATAAAGCAAGTCAGTCAAACACACTGATCTCCGTCAATACCTTTTCCATCATTCAGATAATTTATAATATTTATAAACTGATATTACGTACTCTATACAACATTCAGTTGGGCAAATTTACCATATAGATGAACATGTTTATGCCTTCAGATGATATTTCTAGCCAAAAGATGTAAATTGCATACCTCTTCAACAAGATCCCCAGCTATTCCTCTTATAACTTCACATAAATTGTTCTCAGTAAATGATTCATTGATCCAAAAGCTCATGTCTTTATAACAGGGAGGATACTGCAAAAACAATTAAGGTATCAAGTCATTCTTCCATAATAAGTATTAAACAATTAAAAGAATATACTGAAGAAAGGGTTAAAATAAACCATTTTCTTAATTTATACCTTTGAAAAGGGTTTAAGCTTGACTCCCATTTGGCCTTGGGAAAACTGCATTCAAGTAGCTTAATCAGATCCAGCTTATATGAAGATATGATATTAGAAATCCAAGAACTTCAACTTTAAAATCATGGAGCTACATTCAGGAGCAACCTGTGAGGTAAATCGTTCATCAGTTGACCAAAAAAGCCGAATATCCGGTATGTCAAATAAAACCATTGCAAGCCGCTCCAATCCAAGTCCAAAGGCCCAAGCAACACTGTTTAATCTACCATTACTTTTCAATATTTCTTGCTCCATCACTCCACAACCCAAAACCTCCATCCATTTTTCCTGACAATTGTTGTAGGTGGCTGGTAAGTCATACTTGGTGCTAAAGTTACCGCATGAAATAGTCATTGATTTAAGAAGATTCAGATTGAACAGTCAATTAATAAAAGTAATAATGAGGGCTAGTAACACAGAGTACATACATGTAATTAAGGAGGTATTAGAACATTCAAATCTTGATTTAGCTTAGTACAATTTATGATTACAACAATAAGCATACCATTCACCCTCTAAATCTTTTGCTGTCAAAAAATCATAGTAGAATTTTCTGACAAAAGGACCATGAGCATTGTAATAAAGCAAGCAATGGAGAAGGCAATCAAAATTCTTCAGACTGAATAACTCAAGCTTAAAGAAAACACTAACACTATCCTATAAAAGAGGATTAAGAGAATACCTTAAAATAGATTTCAAGTTCATAAGAAGGATTTGTAAATGGAAAATAGGCATCGATCCAACGCATCTCAACAGCACCTGGAATGTTAACAGATTGAGGCTAATTGACTTTAACATTTAGCAGTCCTTACAAAGTACATGATCAACCCCAGACACAAGCACTTTGATGGCTAACTACATAAAATTTTGCAAGTGATCTGAGTTTTATAGCAACTAGTTAGACACTTCTCTCAATAAAAAAATTTATTATTGCACATAGGTCCAGATATCTGGCACATTGGTACATATATCTCCATGGTATCTCCCAAAAAAAAAAGGCAAATCTGCGATGAATTCTTGTCACAAAAATTGCCACTCCTTGCCAATCCAATAGTGCATTCATGATGTAAATAAAGATCTTACTTCTATAAGGAATATGATTTCTGAATCCCTATATCTCATTGTGGCAGATACACATCATCATTTGCAAAAATTGTAATCCCTCAAAAAGGCTTAGACTCTAAAAATTACCAAATAAGTGACGAGCAAGGCCCTCTAGACTTTTCTTTAAGTCCTCAGCTGCATATGATGTGGGATCCAGACCTGATGCCTCCCAATTATCAGGACTAAAAACACGAACCCCTTCCATCTGTATGGTAAAAGACCAGATGTTTAGGGGCAAAAAACAAGATGGGACATTGATTTATGAACATGGCCATCTTACAACATATGTTACATGTCAAATCACAGCTGTTCATCATGTGGACCCATGCAGGAGCCCATTGTCGGGCTCATCGTATGGATGGCTGTGCTGGGCATGTAGCAAGGAGTGCAAAATTACCATGTGATTGTAACAATTTCCTCAGAGAAGAGAATTTTGAAAAGCTGGTCAACATTAAAGAGATTTTCAACAAAATCAGACCTGATGAAACACAGGGTAATGGGTAGAATCAATAGAGTCCCTACGGTAAACATCACCAGTTACAAGGAAATGAGTGTGTCCCCTTCTCAACAGCTCTGCTTGATGAGCACTTGTATGACACCTCAGCACAGTTTGAGAGTCAACATAGTATGTATCATTATAGCTCCTGCTTACATGGTCAGCAGGCACCAGGACATCATCAAAATTCTGCAAGAAGATTTACTGTCATAAATAAATAACTATATAAATATATGTTCTCACAAACATTTTTCAAGATATAACATAACTAAGACAATGAAATTAATTCATCAAACAGATGACAAAAGGCTTCTTCATTTCAGAGGAGCACAAATAAAAAATGAGGCATAACTTTGCTTACTGAAAATCCAATTCTGAGCAAATAAAATTGGACAAAAATAGAGGTCGAGAATTTGTCAAGTACAATTTTGAACAATTCTGATGAGTATTATATGAGCTTAGATAGGAATGAAATATTTTGTTATATACTTTAAACTTCAATTTATGGAAGTTAAAGTTGCATATAAGTGTGCAAATTAGTACATTCACCATGCCAACACTTCAGAATTGAACGACTCTAAAATCAAAACCTAAGGGTAGATGAATATTCTTACTGGCTGGTCATACTGCTTGCAGAGCCCAAAAACAGCCATGCAGATATGTAAAAACCTTTTGGATTGGAGAGATTGAATTATATTCAAATCACATGGCCAATTCAAGAAGTTGACTAGAGAGACCACGTATTGTGGAACAAAACATGCTTTAATGGGCCATATTGTAAGGAGAGAAAACTATCTATAACCTCAATATTCGACCCAAAACTATTCTCTCCCTCTCACTCACTAACCCACACCCGCATACATACACAGAGGTTCAAGCCTACATGGTAAATTATGTAATTCATAAGTTAATACACAAGCTTCGTTTATCTCTGAAGTCCATACAGATACAAATTCAGATGCAATTTTTTTAACTTTTCAAAGATCTTAGACCACTTATTCTAAAACAGAGCATAAGATTGATTTTAAAGAAAATCTAGACTCAAAAGCTGATCCTTTGCCATCCAATAATATTTGCCAATTCAGAGGAACATTAAAGAGGACAAGGTAATACAGGGAATAGTGGACCACATTATACCTGTTTTACTGACACAATTGGGCAGAGATCATCAAACTTATCAAACATGTTTGGGTAATTAGTATCAAAATACTCATATATTCCATTCTTCAAAATCCCAAGAGGGTGGTTATTCCTTGTGTGGAGCTGCATTCCCAGTTTCGAAAAAATCGTGTCTGGAACATTGTTCGTTGGGTCATCCCTCACCACATCTACAAATCGCACCATTCAAACAATACTAAACCAATCATAAAACTATGCATAAAAAAGTAGTCATGAATCAAAATTTCACCAATAACAAGAAATCAAAGCACATACCATGCAAATATTCAAACTAAAAAAATCAAGCAATAGATTTTAGTTGCTGAAAACTTTCAATTATTTCACAACATCCATGAAGGGTAATCCACCTACACTTACCATCTGATAGATATCTTCCGTTCCAAAATATAACAAATCAACACACCATAATTTTAACTTTCTTATCATACACAACTTAAAGACACACAAAGGGCATATTCTGAAAGCTCCAACACACAAATGCGATTAGGTCCATTACAAAATAAATTAAACCTTTACCAACTCGGAGTGAAACTCAGGGTAAAACACCCGAAACAATTTACTAGTACTAGAGAAAGAACATGCAAGAATCGGATAGACCCATCTAGTTAAAATGCAATAACAGGAAATATTCAAATGACCCAATTCAAGAACAGGAAAAAATAAGCATAACAGAAAAAACCAAGTCCATAGGAAGTGGCATTTTTTACCATCTTTAGCAATTTTGATTCCACCGAGCTCTAGCACTGAGGAAGCCACTGGTTGTCTCCACTTCTTCTTATCAGAAACAGAAGCAGCAGCAGAAGTAGAGAATGGTAAGCAAAAAGTGAAGCGTTTGAAACCATTTATGCGGAGAAAAAGTGAGGTTTTGGAGAAGATAGTTGAATGAGCACTTGAAACTACTGCCATAAAGCCCTGGGTTATAGAGAATTGGTTTTCTGTTTCAAAAATGCTGGATTTTGTAGAGAGAAGAAAGAAGGATAAGTCACAGGTTGGGTTTGATTCGGTTGAAAGAGAAGAAGGGCACTTCGGTACACACAAAAAGGAAAAATAAAAACTTTATATGCCATAGGCCGAACGAAGTTTGAGCCTATCAGGCCGACTCTTCTACGGACCAAGTGATATGGAGATAACCAATAGTAGGAATTAAAAATGGGTTTATGTTAAAATATAACGGACACGCCAATTGATAGTTCAAATTCTAATTCAAGAAAAAGAATTAATATCTTTAACTCTATGAAGAAAATAAAAATCGTTAAAAATGAAAATTAAACGATTAATCAATTCTATCAAACACTAATCCATTAACCAAATAAATTGCAATGTGATTAAGATCTTACAACTCAAATAACCTTAAGCAAAAATATATTATTAAATAAATATTTCAACTCATTTATTAGTTGTTTAAAATCTGATACAATTCCAAATAAATCAGATTATTGAGTTGAACAATGTCGAATATAAGAATTTTGATGCAATAAGAAAAAGAGAGATCTTTATAAATAACCAGAAATGAAGCATTCAAATGTACATCTGCAACAAAATCGAAACCCAGGAGATACTGGAATATAAATCCACTACTCGACTTTCCCTAACTTATAACAAAAATCGAAAGATATTAGCCACGGCTCAATACACTACAGCCTCAAAATCCTATACAATCGTAACGTCATTTAGGACCCTCTTGAACCAAATATCAATTAAGCACATAATAGTTCAGACACATTAAACTAACACTATAAGGGGTCTCAGATTATGAGAGCTTCCACACCCATAGCCCAGCTCCTTTCTGCAAGTTCTCATACGGTAATTCACAAAAATCAACAATAAGCAACAACAAACGTACTAGAATATTCGAATAACATCAGACTGAAGCTGCACACCTTCCTTAGCTCTCTCATTCGCTTCTCGCATGACATGTCTAATTGTCCTGCTATTTAATTTCTCCATCATCCTTTCCATTTGAATCAGTCACTTCCTCATTCCCCATGGAGCAGTATCTGGTTGCTTAGTCCATTTAACCGCATTGTTTGAATCACTTTCAATGCAAAGTGAATTGCCATTTTTTCACCTAGAAGTAGAAAAGATCAAAAGCAAGGTTAGTGTCAACTGATTCTATTGGTTTTGAGAATGTCACTTTTACCATACTGTCAGAATCTGTGAGAATGCCTCTAACTCCAGCTGGACTCGAGTTTCCTCTCGATGCTCCATCACGTTAAATTTCATTTGGCCTATTTTCAGCATCTCCCACTTCATTTGTTTCTTCCCCTATATTGATTTTCCATGCAAACTTTGAATCGGAGACTGTCTGTAAATATCTAACACTGGCAGAAAGTCCCTTGGCCATTTGACATTGGCCCAAGCTATCATCCTAATCTTGACCAGTTCGAGACATTGTTCAAAAAAACCAACATTAATTAAGATTTATTATTCGAAACACATAGCAAAGCCAACAAAATGACTCAACTAGTGAACTATGTAATTGCCACTTCAAAAATATATTCTCTATAGCTAGGTATTTATGGTCAAAATTCGTTGATATCTTAAAATTTAAGTGTAGATCCAGTCCATCCCATTTAAATTAAATTTATTATTAAAATATAAAAAATTATATTAATTTTTTATTTATAATTTAATTTTATTAATATGATCATATTTTCTAATTGAGCCAAAATTGAGTTTGGACTTAAATATTCATCTCCAAGGTTTAATCCGAATTGAGAGCTAAGCCTACGGATATAATATATAATTCAATTTAAACATAAATCATAATCAAGTTTGGGTATTGAGATTCGAACTCGATATGAGTAGTGAAATTATTACTCGAATCCTGTTATAAAGTACCTTAATTTTATATAACTGGCTTAGATACCTCGTGAGTATCTTATTACAAAATATCCATTACCGTCTTTAAGAAGATTAATTGAACTGTCAAAGCTATTGAATAAATATAATGGTATCGAAAAGAAGAATCATTCATTTTCAAATGGTAAGAAAATGGAGATTTTTACAGGAGTAAAAATACTATATTTGTTGAACATGGGGTAATTCACAAGATCATGGTGTTTTCTTTTTTTAAAAAAAAAAAAAATTTCTAGCTGCTGTCAATAATAAATTAGATTAACTTAGTACTACCATTTCTCCGTTTGCCACCGATATCCTACATGAAATTAATGTCTTCAAATGAAAGAAAATGCCCTGATTTCCTAATTTTGACCACCCATATAAATCAAGCTTATTTGGCCAAAACAACACGACCCACCAGCAGCAAAGCAGGGCATTAAGGCCCCCCCACACGGCCCCCAAAGGGAATTTTGTTATTAACTTGGAGTTTATCAATGGACTGCATGGGGTGATCTATATATTAACTTGGAGTTCATAATTTTTGTTCCTTGGCATTGGTCAACAGATACAATTTGAATTTTTTCAACAAATTATGATAAGAAGCTATAAGAGAATCAGAAATCTAAATAATTAATAGCCACTTCAATTTTAATGTTACACAGTCCCACATCAAACAAGGAAATTCTCTGCAAAATCTCCTTTCCTAGCCAAATTTCTTATCTTAACAACACATCTGCTGACTTTAGACGAACAAATCTTCAACGTCCTAGCATATAGCAAACCAGAAAATATATAAGCACTACAAAGCCAAGGCCTTTATGCAGAAATTATAAAAGAAACAAAAGGGTTCTAGTTAATAACGGTTGCTGTTGCATCAACAATAAGTGTAAGAATAAAAGGAGATTAGCTTGCCTCGCCTCATAGTTTGCTCGCCCCTTTGAACGTTTCCTCATTAACTAAGCGTTATGCATAGTTGTGTCTATACATTGGTTGCACGATAACAATAGGGCGAAACCAGGCTTTCAATATGGATAGCTGGTTGAAACCAATCCCAGTGATTGCGTGGAGTAAAAGTCTTTGATGTCTTTTCTTTAGGATCATACCAGACTAATTCCCTTCCATCATAATCTATTAAAACTTTACCAGTTTTTGTATAGCATACTGCGTTCTCTCAGTATTTATATCCATGCAAGATGTCTCTGTGGACACTGAACAATCTACTCCATGACGACTTGATGCCATATTCCTTCAACAGCCATGCCTCAAAAACAGTTTCACAACCGTATCCATAGAACAGGCATAGGCAATCTCCTGAAATCCCCAAAACCAGTGTGTGATCTTTGATTTCTTCAATATGATCTGGTCCCGGTACCAGTTCATAGAATTTCTCTTCTACCATGTGAAATGCAACAATTACATAAATTATTTTAAGGCCAGTTTCTTTTGCTGCTAACCAATGCAATGTTTCATGGAAGAAAAGCCCAGCACCTTTAATTTCTATGCCAGATTGGAGGCCTTGAACCCTTCGCCAATTGTTACTTTTCAACGTCAAAACTTCAACTTCAGTTTCGTTTGAAGCATTAGAGGTAAAAGGACGAGCAGCTCTAACTACTTTGTAATCATCTGTTAAGAAATCATAGCCAAGACCGTAAGAGAAGGTAGCCTTTGGATCAAAAGCGCTTAGGTTTGCCAATTCCTTGGCTTCTCGAGTAGTTGGATTCCATAAGAAGATGCGCTCATGCTCAAAGAGTGCACATATCAAGCCATTACAAGAACCTCCTAAATCAAGCCAACCATCCACCAAATCATCAGAGTCAGGAGTCTTCCTCATAGCCGCCGGATACTCAAGTTCCAATATCAGTTTGTTTTCATCATCAAGATCTTCTGCCGAAGCTTCACAGGCTACTGATTCAAGAGGTTCAGTGATGAGTAGGACTCTATAGCTGCTAAAGTTGCTCTTCTTCTGTGTTTGTTTGAGGTGTAGTTTGCCAAACTGAGGATCAGAGATCAAAGACCTCCATGGCTTGCATACACACTTTAGTTGTACCAGGAATTTGACTGGTAGCCTCGACAGTATATTGGCAATAATGTCTTGAGCGAGTTGAGGGAGTGTTTCCATGGCTTCCTTTCAGATTAATTTTGTTCTTCCCTTGCTCTTTGGATAACCCTTAAGTTAATTAGCTAAATCACATATTCAAAATTACCTTGAAGCTTACATTGTACGCTATCAAATATCAATGTTCTGGGATTTAATTTGTCATTGGTGGAAAGGTTCAACAGCTCTTGCACCAAAGCATTTAGAAAAAATTCCCTGCCAAAATAACAATGGCTACTATATTTTTTAAATTCAATGATCAGCAGCTCCCCTTTGAAGTAGTAATTGCACGTGGGAGACTAATAGAACGAGTCATAAAGCTATCAAATAATATAATTCTACGGTAAAGACTAAAGAATCATCCACTTTCAATTGATTATTATTAACCAGATGTGAGAGGCAAATAGAGATGTGTATAGGGGAAGCCATGGATAAAGTCCACTGTTTCTGTTCCTTCACAAGACCATGGTTTTTTTTCTACTATTGGGTTAATTTGCAAGAGAATATTTAAAGTACAGGAAGTTAATTTGTTCAAATAAAGGAAGATGGCACTAATTTTCGAACTTTGACTATGTTGAGGAGCTGTCAGGCAGTTTAACCAACATTAATCAAGCTTTTGGCCAAGAGGCTGAATTAGGGATTAATGATCTTCCAGACTAGGAGCACATTTTTCTTCTATTGAATTTTTCTTTTTCTGTAATGGCAGATTAGGATTTTACTATTCCATATTCTCTTCGGAAAACCAGTGCAACCCATCCTTTCCTTGCCAAATTTCTTACCTGAACAATAAATCAATTGAATTTGGCTAAAACAGATCTTCCACTTCTTAGCATACTTACAAAGAAAAGATGCACCCCTTTTTTATGTAGCTGTTGCATATTTAACCACAATAAGCAACTTGTCTCACCTCACAATTGACTTGCCTCTTAGAAGGCTTCTTAAATAAAATTTTAGGCATCATAACAATTCGGTGAAATCAGGCTTTCGATGTAGATAGCTGGATCGAACCAACCCCAATTACTGCGTGGAGTATAAGTTTTTGATGTATTTTCTTTTGGATCATACCAGACTAAGCACCGCGCATCATAATCTATTACAACTTTACCAGAGTTTGTGTAACATAATGCCTTTTCCCAGTATCTATGTCTAGGAACAAGGTCCCTCTGGACACTGAACAATCTGGCCCACAATGACTTGTTGCTATCTTTCAAGAGCCATGCCTCAAAACAACGTTCACCGCATCCATTAAACAGGCATAGGCAATCTCCAGAAACCCCCAAAACTCTCGAATCGTTGCTTTCTTCAATCTGATCTGGTAGTGGCACCAGCTGGAATATCTTTTCTGCTAAGTGAAATGAGACGATAACATTTACTATTTCTAGACCGTCACTTTCGTTTTCCCCCAGCCAATGCAACGCTCCATGGAGAAAAATCCCCGGTCCTTCTATTTCTATTCCAGACTCAAGGCCGTCAATCCTTCGCCAAATGTTACTCTTCAATTCCAGAATTTCTACTTCAGTCTCACTAGAAGCATCATCGTTACTAGAAGGGCGAGTAGCTCTAACAACTTTGTAATCATTAGTTGAGAAATCAAAGCCAAAACCATAAGAGAATGTACCCTTTGGATCAAAAGCATTAGGCTTCGCCAATTCCTTGGTTTCTCTCATTGTTGGATTCAATAAGAAGACGCGATCATTCTCAAAGACTAAGCATACCAAGCCATTGCACGACCCTCCCAAGTCGACCCGACCACCCATCAATTCATCAGAGTCAGGTGTCTGCTTCTTAACCGTCGGATACTCAAGTTTCAAAACTAATTTGCTGTCATCATCATCACCAGAAGCTTCACAGGCTGCTGATTCTAGAGGCTCAGTAATGAGAAGAACTCTCTGGCTGCTAAAGTTGTCGTTCCTCTGTGATTGGGTGAGCTGTAGTTTAGCAAAATGAGGATGGGATATCAAAGACCGCCATGGCTTGCTCACACACTTGAATTGTAGCAGAGATTTGACTGGTAGCCTCGACAGTATATTGACAATAATGTCTTGTGGGAGTTGAGAGGGGGTTTCCATAGCTCCTTCAGATTATTTTGGTCCCAGCTACCAGACCCTTGAAGCTTTGTTTATAGACTATCAATATATGATTTGGAATTTTAGGCTTTCATAAGAATTTGATGAAAAAGTAGTCGTTTAGGACGGTATTTACTGATTACATCTTTGAACCAAAAGATTGAGTGGAGAAATTCTCCTGTCCAAAACAGTATTGGCTGCTATTTTTAATTCTATGATCAACTTAAGTAGTCAAAGCTATTGAATAACACAACAATATACAAAATCTACTTTTGGCCAACGTACGAGTCAGCCATGTATATAGTCCATTCTTTTCTAATTTAGATTAGGTTCAATATCTTACTATCAAATAGCTTTCAGACAAGAAAACTGATTCTAAATAGCTTGCAATATATATTATGGATCATATTTTCTCTCTTTATAAAATAAGAAAAGCAAACCTGAAAATGAAGAAAAACATAACCAAAACAAAAGGCAGACTGATAATTAAACAGAGTACATATAATAGTACTTAGTCATTCAAACTTCAACTTCAAAGATACTTAAGAAACGAAAACATATGCGGAAATCACCACAGAACCAAAGCATTCGGAAATGGAAAAGACAATCCACTTATTATTCAACATAACATTTTGCTAACTTCAGTCAGACGTCACAACAGATTTGCCCTTGATGTCTCTGATCTTAATGCCCTCCAAAGGATTTGAGCTCTTTCCTCCTCTCTTGATTGGTCCAAAGTCATCTTCCTCCTCCGTCGTCTCCCAAAAGTTCTGTATAATTAAAAAGAAACAATCGACTAAACCAAATGAAAATGTGTTTTTATTTTATACTTATAGAAAGAAAATTCGAACCTTACTCTTTAAGTAAGAGATCATACACCAATCAATGAGTTAAATGCTCGAATGCAAACTAAATGAAAATATATGCAAAATAAACATTTACATTTTAAAAACAATTGAAATAAATAAAATGTACATATCTAAAACTTTAGATATTATTAGGATAAATTGGAAATTGAGTTGAATATAGAGTAGGATTGAATATAGTTATTGGATTTTTTTTCTTTTTTGAATTTCAATTATACCAAAAGGATCTTAATTTATTAAATAAATTTAAAACTAATATTTATTAGAAATTATTCTATTTATGCTCGGATTTAAATTTGATCAAATTTCAATTTTAAAAATATAATATACACACATGTACATACACATAAGATATCATTATTAAGGTAATATAAAATGCGAGAAAATAGTTTTGAAAGGGAAATAGCATTACAAAAATATCCCTAATTTTATCCATACTTGATGACGTAGGGCAGTGGAAAAAAAGAAAATAAAACAAATCAAAATTAGGTTTTAATCTCTTCAATTTGGTTCCACTTCAATAACAATAAAATACACCCACTTCGATCAATTTTTGACCTTTTCTAATGCGTTTCTAATTAATATTTATGAGATCTATTTTTCATTGACATTAGTAAAAAAAGTTAACCCGCATGTAAAAGTTAATAAAACTAAGAAGTAGGTAAATAAAAGCCAAAAGAAATGAAAAGAAGTTGAAACTTACATCAGCATAGATGGAAACCTTGGCCTGTTTGGCATACCTCACATATCGCATCAGATCTTCGTAAGTGTAGAAACGTTGATCAGTTGGTGGACAAAGGTAGCACTGCCATTATCACAACTTAATTAATTAAATAGAAGTCGTATTAATGTTTGATAATATTCTAATTTCAGTTGTAATTATAATCTTCTTGTGTATTTATATAAACATCATATACAATATTATTAAAAATTTAAATACCCGACACACGTATATTATTTTTAATTTAATTAATAAAATTATAAATTTAGTTTGTATAACTTCATAAATATTGTCAAGTATTGTTAATACATGCATGTAAAACACGTGTAAATTTATATTTAGTTAATGTCAACAATCGATCTATTTATATACTTCTTGATAGTATATAACGATTATTAACAAGATTAACGAACTTAACGAATTTTTTTATCATGTATCAAATAATAAATAAAGATATAAAAATATTAATAACATAAAGATCGTATCTGATCCACTTTCTAAGTGGAATCAAACTATATAATAGACAAATTATTGAAGGTTTGGTATTTATACGATCTCGGCAACCAGATTCACTATTTAGTGCAATCAAATGATAAAGAAAAAAGAACTCTTCCAGGAAAGGCGAAATCAGATACGCACGAAGGGATTGTACCTACATGCAAGTACTCATCTTTAAATCAGTTGAACCATTTTGAATTGTTAATATGATCAAAGTTATCAAATGAAACATAAACAAAATACGCTTAGTAATTGATTAAGCAATACCTGGACTTGGGTACCATCATCTTTCACCATGGTATCCAGAACCCAGCCTTCAGGAATAGAATCAGAGGGAAGCTTGATGTCCTTTTGGTCTTCCTTAGCGGCCATTTCCTGCAAAAGTGAGAACCCCAAAAACACTCTCTCAGCTCTATATGGTTTAAATTTCACTAGGACACTGCTGCATGAAAACGAATCAACCAAAGGGATTTAATATAGGGCAGTCTGGAAATGAAAAAGATGCCTTTGAACCACGTGTTCTGAGTTCCTTCGTCAGGAAATCAAAACTTAGATCGAAGGACAGGAGTAAAATGTGAAGCTTGCCTGCTTCTGGAATTTCAGTTTCAGTTCTTTGCTAGGCTGGTTTTGGTTTTTTCTTGACTACTTTCACGCTAGAATAGACAAACCAAAATGAATGGACCTTGAGTTTGTTGAGAAAGCTGACAAGATTTTTCATGAAAAGCAGCCGTTTCATGATTTGTATTAAGTTTGGTTACCTTTTTAAGAAATTACCTCAGATTTCTGAGTTGGCATTTTAATTGATTCATGAATCAATTTCAACTAAGGAAAGTTGCATTAATTCATATTTGGATTTTGCTATATTATGATCTTGCCTATTAAGAATAATGTAAATTGGGAAAAACACAAATATTTGATTCAATAGTAAGTATATGTATTTCATACTCTATTAATTGGATTTAAATCTCCCTTCCTCTAAAATAAAAAAATATTGTAATCAGTATTTCTACACTTCTATCCTTTTGAGTTTCAACTATACTTATTTTAACACTATATTTTTATTTTTTAATTTTTATATTGTGAAAACTCAAAAATTCTTTCCATACATTTAGATTTTTTTACCCCACCTTTTTTCGTATTACGTGTCTAGTCTTTGTTCGCATTAATTATCGATTAATCATATAAATGAGGGCCACCAAGAACCAAAACAGACCAAAGCATTGTGCAGGTCATACGCACTAGTGCTGCTAGGAGCCAAAAACACTAGTGTGGAATCACGCTCAACGAACGAGCAGAGTGCTCAAATGAACAAGAGGTGTAAAGGGGTTTTAAGTGACGAACATTTACATTGGTTGGAAGGTTTGGTGGTAGGGAAAACCAAAGAAGAAAGTGAGGTTGTGATATTAATTGACAAGCTAAGGATGGAGAGGCATATTGGAATGTCAGTGAAGGGTATTTCTCCAAGGCATTTCTTGCTGACTTTAACTGATAAAGAATAATTGAATATGCTGGAGAAAGATGAATGGAGGTGGCTTAAATTGTGGTTCACTAAGTTGGAGAGGTGGCCAGAAAAATATAGCACACAGTTGTAAAAAAGTGGTTGTCAGTCCATGGTATACTGATCCATGCATGGACTTATGAGACATTTGTGAATGAGGTGATGTGTTGGGGGGAGTTGTTGGCGGTGGAGGGCAAAACAGTGATGGTGATAACTTTTTTTGTGGCTCTATCCCTATAGTGACGGAGATAAAGGACAGAATCGAGGAGGTGATCAAAATGGAAGCTGGAAAGAAGGTCTTCTACATTCAAGTGCAGGAAATTGTGGCAGGAGGAGTCTACCGACATACACTTGGACTAGGAGGAAAAATAAGGTGCACTAGGAGGAAGAAGAGAAATGGGGCTTGGTTTTCATGTAGAATATTGGATACGTAGTGGACTTGGGAGATGAGGAGGTTGAAATCTGTTTAACACCGATGGTGGAGAAGTTACATACAAAGAAACTGTAGGTGATATAAGTAGTAGTGACTTATTTAGGATTTTAGATATGAAGGGGTTAAAAGATAATTATAAAAATAATTATATAATATATATATATCAAGTTTTATATATATAATAATAAAAAATTAAAAATCGAGTGGTGGTGGCCACTTCCCCTTCACTCTGTCAATAGGCGCAAGCGACACAAGGACAAAGCATGGTGAGTTCAGGATTCAAACGTGGCATTAGAGCATGAAAAGCTCAAAAATCAAATGTGGGGTTGACTTTGGCGAACAGAAATCTGACACTTACACTGAAGCAAAAGGAAGAATGAAAGGGGATTGGACAAACTATGTCCCAGGTAATAAGGTTACTATGGGAGCGACGAGAAAGGATGGAACAAGAAAGGTTACAAAATATCAAAGAGGGAAAAGGATCTGCAGTGAAATCAAGGAGAAAGAGAGATACGAAGGAGTGGATTGGGTTGAAAAAAATAAGGCCCAAGATGAAGTAGGCTCAAGAACTGATAATGCGTTTGAAGAACCTAGTGAAAGGAGGATAGCAGTTAGCCCCAAGAGTGTTGAGAATTAAGGCCGACTAGATGGAATAAAGGGGGAGGAAAAAATGGGTTCAATGGAAGCCCAATTCGAGTCCTACCTTCAGCAACATGGTTGAAGGAATTGGATGGAGGTATGTCACCATCAAATCTACCTCTCTCAAGCAAACTGAAAATTAGGAAGTTGGGTTTGCTAAGTGAAGTGGTGAAAAGGATTATGGTAAGAAAAATCGAGCAACAAAGGGGACAAGCAAGACAAGAAAATAGAGAAGCCTTTGTGGGGATGAGAGTGAGCAAGAAAAGGTGGCTAATATATCCCTATCAAATGGGGATGTGATAAATCATAATAAAATGAATGGACGTTGAGTTTGGTGAGAATGTTGACGAGATTTTTTTATAGTTGTGCTTGAAAAAACCAGTCGTTTCATGATTTGAATTAAAATTGGCTAACTTTTTAAAGTAATTACGGCAAGTTTCTAAGTTGGCAATCTTAATTGATTCAATTTCAACTAAGGAAAGTTACATTATAGAAGGGCAGCTGCAGTGTTTGTCAACAATATTCCAAAACAAATGCATTGGTGTTGGTTGGGCAATTTCTTTCAAAAGTATGAAAATGTTGTTTATTTGTTTATTGCAAAGAAGAGGAGTAAGCTGGGGAAGAAGAATGGTTTTGTGAGCTTTGAAACTTTACATGAACCAAGAAGAGTTTGCACTCTGCTTAACGGGATGTGGCTTCTAAGTTAGAAACTAAATATGAATATGGCAAGATTTTGGGACAGGACAACATATTAAGGGAGAAGAAAGTCAGTTTAGAAAAGGGCACAGGGGTGGATTAAAAAACAAGTAGAATTGATTGGTTTTTAGTCTGTTCCAATTGGATGGATACCTTTCGTCCACTTTGCCAAATCTCCTTGAATAGATCAGCTTCAAACCATTTCCCTATTATGTTGAGTTGTAATGAACAGAATCGGGGTCCAAAACCCTTTCGGGTATTGGGTTGTTGATGCAAAATAGGTTTTTGGGGAATTGTGGACAGTGCACCATAAAAAGTGTTACATCGGAGATAGAAATATCGAGTTAAATGGGTTAAAGAGGGAGATAGAAACACAAAAGTTTTCACTGTAAGGCCAAGTTTCGAATACAGTGTAATATGATATTTGGATTGAATGTAAAAATGAAGTGAATGGAGCATCCAAAGATTGTCCGAAATGAGGTTTATGAGTACTTTAGGAGACAGTTCTCTTCTACACCATGAGTGAGGCCTACAACTTCGGGAATTACTTTCCACAGGCCATCGGAGATGGATAAAGCTCGCCTTGAGATAGCAATTACTAAGGAGGAGTTGAAGGCAGTAGTTTGGGCTTGTGAAAGGACCAAAGTGCATGATTCTGGTGGGTTCAACTTCAACTTCCTCAAAAATACGTGGACTCTAACGAAAACTGACCTTTTTAATTTTATTTGTGATTTTTCTTGACAAGTAAGCTCAAGAAAACTGACCTTTTCTATCGCATTTCTCATTAATATTAATAAAAATATATAAATTAAGCCACATCTAGATGTGTCAATGTACCAGACTAAAAAAGCTTAGAAATAGGTAAATCAAAGCAAAGAAAAGAAAAGGTTGAAACTTACATCAGAGTATGGATGGCAATCTTGGCCCTTTTGGCATTCCTCACATATCGCATAAGATCTTCGAAAGTGTAGAATCGTTGATCAGTCGGTGGACAAAAGTGGCACTGCAATTATCACAACTTAATTAATACAATGAAAATATTAGATATTTTGCTTTGAAATTGTTATTCATTTTTAGTTGAGTAATCTAATTGTAATTTCATAACTTAAAAGGTTTATATATATATATATATATATATCAAACTCCTTTAGGGTATGGTTCTTCAGCAATACCTTGACTTCAGTAGCATCATCTTTCAGCATCGTATTCAGAATCCAGGCTTCAGGAATTGGACCAGGGAAAGGCTGATGTCCTTCTGGCCTTCGTAATCAGCCATTTCCTGCAAGGTGGATTGAAGGAATCGAGTAAAATATTATGCCTGCCTGCTTCTGGAATTTCAGTTTCCGTTCTTAGCTTGGCTAGTTTTAGGTTTGTGTTCTTGCATGCAAGAAAAGATGAAAACCAAAAATGAATGGACCTCGGGTTTGGTGAGAATGCTGACGAGATTTTTTTATAGCTGCATGTGTTCAAGGAAAAACGGCCATTTCATGATTTGATTTAAGATAATTACCACAGGTTTTCGACTAGGCAATTTTAATAATTCAATGTCAACTTAGGAAAGTTACATTAATTCGTATCTGAATATTGTTACATTGTGAATTTGTTCATTGAGAATGTTTCAAATCAAAAAGAACGTTGCATTAATCAAAATAATTAGTTTTACGGTAAATATATGTATTTCCTTCTTTATTAATTGATTTTGAATCTCTTTTTCTCATATATATATATATATATATATATATTCCTTTGAATTGGATAAACTCCAACATTCAAAATTCTCTACTTCCTCCTTATAGCTAGCCTTGCTCTTATGTATAAAAGATAATAATTAAAATTATGTAATTAATTCATGTACTTTATAAAAAATGTGAATATAGTCTCCATACAATTATTTGTGTAAATTAAGTTCTTATATTCTTTCAATTTGTTAATTTCAGTATAAACTTTAACATCATTAACTTTTCAGCATTTAAGTATGATGTAGTGTTTTGATTGAATTAACATTGATTAAGATAATATTGTATTTTCTTATTGATGTGATATTGATTTTAAATTTAGATGACATTTATCATGGTAACATGATATTGATTAAATTGACAATAATTTATACTGACATGACAATTATTGACAAGATGACCAATAGATAATCATACTAATAAAAAAATAATTTTATTTTTTATTACATGATAAAAAACCTTTAAAAGCATAATACTTAAAAAAATCTCTAAACTATTTAAGATAGTTTAAATAGATTCTTATTTTTTTACATTTAATTAAATTTTTATATTATTATTTTGAATCAAATGAATTGTTAGTACTAATGATTGTTTTTAATAGACAAAGGACATGTGGCAGAAAGTTGTAGAAAAGGTGGGAGGGTGGGGCATGGGAGGGGGCAGGGGATTTGTATTCGTAAGAGCGGCGTGGTGGGTCAACGCTAAATAGCCGAAGCATAACCTTGCGATTGATGATCTTGTGTGACCTCTGTCAGAGGGTATTGTCTTTAAACGTTTTTGTGGTATTAATAGTATGTTGGGTTTACGAAATAAATAAAAATAAAATAAAATAATTATTATATAGTTTAATATGATAAATAAAATAAAATATGAATAATTATTATAACTTATTACAGTATTTAGTTAGTAATAATAATTTTAAAAAATAAAAGAATAGATAATAAAAAAATAAAATATATTATTTATTATATATATGATTATTTAATTTAATTTAATTTTTAAATATTAATCTTTTATTTATAATTTAATCATTAATATTATAAAATACTAATTTTTTTATAATTTAAATATTATTATGATTAAAATATTAATACTTTTAATTAATTTTAAATTTAAAATATTTTATATTATATAATTAATAACTTAACCTTTTTATTATAATAATATTTATTTTTTCTCTATTTGCATTTTTCATTTTTAATTATATTTTCACTTAATAATTTAAAAATAATATTTTAATATTTTATTTATAATTTTAATATGAAAATATTAACCATTTTTTAATTTATAATTTAAAATATTAACTTTATAAGTTTAAGTTTGTAATTTTTAAAAGTAAATAAAGACATTTTAATCCAAAATATTTGAACTTTATTCTCATGAGTGTGGAATAGTTAATACCAGGAGAGAATGTGTTATTAACTGTTCCAAGCTTTTGCTAACTATTGAGGAATAGTGATTCCTTTTGGAATGGCTATTCCTTCCCCAAAGGCCAACCAAATGAAGGGAGAAAATTTGATAAGGAATAGAGGAGGAAAGGCTAACCCATTCCCACAACCAAACATGACGTAAGGACTGTCAGGAATGGTCTTCACTACCCAAAGGTACCCTCAAATTTAAAATGGATGACGCCTCTAGTAGTAATCCAGGGGAATAGGGAATAGGTGAGATTCTAAGGGATCACAATGGTACCACTCTTGCTGTTTTCCCTACAGCTATTGGATGGTACGATTCGAATATGGCAGAAGTATTTGGTATTAAAGAGGCGATTCTCCGTTTTGTGGCCTCGAGTTAGAGTTCCTCTCATTCCCTGGCTCTTGAATCTGATTCTCTTAATGCAGTTAACTGGAATCAAGATCCTTATGATGTTACATGGAAGGTAAGACGTCATGTGGTTCAAATCTCCAACATGTTGCGCAATGTTGAAAGCTGGCACATCAAGCACATACCAAGGTCTGCCAATGAAGCAGCAGACTCTCCTGCAAAGGAAGGCGTTCGAAAGGAGCAAAATTTGTTATGGGTCCTCTCTTGAGTTTTGTTTGGAACTTTTGTTCCTTCCCTGCATTGCTTTGGTGGGATTGTTGGCTTGTGTTTTGCTGCTGTTTTTCTTGTTAGTGATATTTGTTGTCTGGACACATTCCTGGTTTGCTTGAGATTATGCCGCAATTAGGCAACCAGCCCCTGCTTTTTTCCTGATGCACTCTTGCTGATTCTCCTTGTGGTCAACTTGGGTGCTGCTGCTGCTGCTGCTGACCGCTATGTGAGGCTGCTGAATTTTTCAGGTTGCAGGTTTGCTGTTTTTTCTTCTGGATGTTGTGCCAGCTTCTCTGTTTCAATCTATTGACCCACAGAAATTTTGTTGCCAGCTTGAATATTGCCATGTAATCTGGCTTTGCATGTACAGGAAGGTTATGCCTTCCTTGTATAGATCTGGTTTTTTGTATAGGAGCATTTTTGTTTTGATGGAATCCGGTTTTGTGGATTCCTTTGCTCCAGGATGGTTAAGCCTTCTTTAAGTTTGAAGTACTTTTTGTCTGGCTCCAAGCTTCTGTACAGAACTTCTCTCATGTCAATTGTAAACTGTCTTTCCGACTAAGTAATGCAATAAAGGAGGACCCACAATTGTTATTGGCATCAGTTCAACCTCAGCTCTCCAACCAAGAATGCATAAATTGGGACTTACTTTTCATTTTATAGCTCACTATGAGACTCTAAAACTAGAATACAATAATTTTAAGATAAATTGATTATTCAACCCAAGTCAGTACGAGATGTGCCTAATTAATCAAGGACTTGTCTATTCAAAATTAATGTAAACAACGAGTCACTAGTACTATTAAAATTCTAAATTACTTACTTACTTTTAACATAAATAAGTGAGCCTAACTCTGTATTAATTAACATAATCACTAAAAAAATTGAGTTTTAATCATATTTCTTTAGGCCATATATTTTTTTATAATAAAATTTTAAAAAGTATAGCTATTTAAATTTTTAACTTCATTTTTTTTTCACATTTAGTAGCAATATAAAAAAATGTAACTTTTGCTAGTATACGCAATTTCTATCACTACACTTTATTCATAATGTATTTAAAAATTTAAATAATAAAATTAAATCTAGAAAAATGTTATAAAAAATATAAAAAAATATTATTAAAAATATTTTCAGTAACACATTTTAAAAATTTGTTGTTTTAAGTTAAATTTGTTGTAGTGAATGTTTGAAAAAACTTTGAAATTATTTAAAAAAATTAAAAAAATTTTAATTTTTTATCAAGTTTAATCAAATTTTATATTTTTATTTTAGATAAAATAAGCTTATATAACTAATGATTAACTAATTACATTAATCAAAATATCATCTGACATTTTATGCTTATCTGATGTTAATATGATATTGATGTGACGTTAATATAAAAAATAAAATATATCACATAATCATATATTCATGTCACATAAACAAACCACATCATTTTTTTTAAAAAAAAAAACACAACACAATATTTATCTACTATGATATGTTAATACTATGTGATATAAAACAATAAATAACATTTTAAGTGACAATAATTAACTAAGTATTATTTTTTTTAATAGCAACTTTATTAATAAAAAGAGAGATGACCCATTAAAAATGACAACGAAAAACTAAAATATTCTGACGTTGTTGGTAGTTGAATACCTATTGTCTAGATAGGTTCTAGCAATCTGATTTGCCCATAGTCTTGTAGACATTCTTGTGTACAATTTCCAAAGATATTTGCATTAAACTATATGTTAAATATATTCCAAATGTATGAAAACTATGAACATTTCATAATGGCGATAAAACTCTTAATCAAAAAATAATTAAGGATTTGACCTTTGGAACAAAACATTAATTAAAAAAAAATGCATTGCACTTTAAAATTAAAGAGTCATCAATTTCATTGTGATAAGTTAGGTCAGTCGTCGGGGGAATTTTTCTATCTGGATGGGCTGATTTGGTTTATTAGATTGGCTGTCTTAACAAGTTTCTACTCATACTTTCTACAGTTCCCATTCTACAAGTTAATCATCAAACTAGCCCATTGCTGGTGTTTTGCTGAGCAAATAGGTTACATGTTCAACCCTTTCATACACGTCATAAATAACTTGCCGAGCAAGTTATTGTCATTTGCATTGCATGTAAATAATTATTTTTGTTTAATTTTAAATGATAACTATGTATAAAATATAAATATTTTTAATTCTGTAAAATTAATTTATCTATAATTGGAAGAAAATTATAGATAAAAGACAATTAATATTTTGTAATATTAAGCTATAAATTATTCAATATTATTAGATATAAAAAAATATATTTTAATGAAACTTTTTTTAATACAATTAGAATTCTTCTTTACATATTGAATTAATCTTATCAATATTCATAATAAAATATTTTTATAATGAAAGTTAGTTGAAACAATTAAAATTTTTAAATATTTATAAATTAGATAAATTTTATTAATATTAATAATAAAAAATTTTAAAATAATAATTTTAAAATATAATAAACCAATATGAACCAAAAAGTTTTCCTACATCTATATACTCTATTCTCTGTTATTAATATAGATTAAAGCCATGCAATTTTTCTTTTTCTTTATTCAGATTATTCACCCCAAAATAATGAGCTGCCCCATTTGAACATAAGGAAAACCATGCCTGCCGATGCGAGAGACAAAGCTGGGATGGTAATATTGCTATACATCTTGAATGCTAGCTTTGGGGAGCTTCCTACTGCATGAAAGAACTTGCTTGCTAACTTCCATAAAAGTTAAACACAGGACTTAAGCCGGCCGATCAACATCATGAAGTTTAATTATGATGGATTCTGTAATTTCTCTCTTGTTTCCCTGGGAAAAGAGTGCTACTTGATACACACAAGATATTCCAAAAGAATGCATTTATTGAGGATTCAAACAATAATTTGTTTAATGCTGGCCTTTGAACTATTTTTTAATTTCTATTTGGTTCCAATAGCTTTCACGAGTCTATACCTGCTTCCATTTATAGAATGAGTTATCTCATCAGTCATCATTCATTATTCATTCCTATAAAAAAAAAATCCAAAGCTTTTCTTCTCTTCTTCTTGTTCTACATAGATTTAATTATACGCTGATAAATTGACATAAGGATAATTAAATCAATAGTCCTTAGAAAAAAAGGAAAAACATCCACTTGTCCATTTGTCTGCAACTTTATTTAAGATTGGTGCCGTGTTGGATTGAACACGTTAATGCAATGTAATAATAAACATATTGTATTGATGTATAGGCAGAAGAAGTAGCCATCAGACTTGGTGTCAAACCGTTGACTTTTAAGGTGATGATGGAGGAATGGTATATACTCTTTGATGCCGGAACCCCGTCCTGGGGGACTTGAAGAGATGGGATGCACTTAAATACCTTGACTGTTGATCGGTCTTTACAAACTCAGCCCTCTTTTTCATTTTGCCTGAGCCAAGGAGCAGCTGTTTGTCTCCGGAAGGTCAGGCAGTTCTGAATCTCTAAGCAAGTGAGATAAGTTACTAGGAATTCTGCATGTCAAGATGATTATTCAGTTTTCCATAATTTCGATGAAGAGATGAAAAGTATTTTATTTCTTTGGAACAATCAATCATTCAATTGATCTTAATTTGGGGCTTTACCCATTCCCTTTTAAAGTTATATACATCTCTTATCTGGGATAAATAAACACTTCCCAGGCTATATCTCGGCTTTTATTTGCATATGTTTTCTTTATCGTTTTCAAAATGAGCAAGCATGTTTAGTTCCTTGAATTCTGTAGTCCTTATATCTCACGGCAGATTATATTTGTTGTGATGACTGATCAGGAAATGACTCTCTAGGAATTATATATGGCAGAGGAATCGAAAAATTCCTTAAATGTCTAACTTGTATTAACTCTTAATTTTGCAGTCTTCTATATTTACACACAGGAATAGTACAGTAAAGAGCGGTCGGATCAATTGAATTTGTGTTCTTCTTTTCCCATCTTGTGCAGGTAGAATCGACATTTTGAGGGAGACGAGTCACTAATCAAGATCTAGCTAGGCATGGCTGGAAACCAACTTGGAGTTCTTAATGCTCTGGATGTAGCAAAGACGCAATGGTACCATTTCACTGCAATTATAATTGCAGGAATGGGTTTCTTTACTGATGCTTATGACCTTTTTAGCATCTCTCTCATCACAAAATTGCTTGGCCGTATATACTACCACGTTGAAGGAGCTGACAAGCCTGGAACATTGCCTCCTAATGTAGCAGCTGCTGTTAATGGTGTGGCCTTTTGCGGCACTTTAGCTGGTCAGCTTTTCTTTGGCTGGCTTGGTGATAAATTAGGGCGGAAACGAGTTTATGGACTTACCCTGATGCTTATGGTGATCTGCTCCATTGCCTCCGGGCTTTCATTTGGAGACTCTCCGAAGGGTGTCATCGCAACACTCTGTTTCTTCAGGTTTTGGCTTGGTTTTGGAATTGGAGGTGACTATCCCCTCTCAGCCACAATTATGTCTGAATATGCCAACAAGAAGACTCGTGGAGCATTTATCTCCGCAGTTTTTGCAATGCAAGGGTTTGGAATTTTGGCAGGTGGGATTGTTGCTCTTATCGTGTCAGCTGCATTTGATCATGCGTACAAGGCCCGTCCATATTCTGTTAACGAAGACCGGTCAACTGTCCCTGAAGCTGACTATATTTGGCGCATCATTCTGATGTTTGGAGCAGTTCCTGCTCTCCTCACTTACTACTGGCGAATGAAGATGCCAGAAACAGCCCGTTATACTGCTCTCATTGCCAGAAACGCAAAACAGGCTGCTGCAGACATGTCCAAGGTCTTGCAAGTGGAGCTGGAAGCTGAAGAGGAGAAGGTGGAGAAGATAGGAGTAGCGGAATCCAAGTCTTTTGGTCTTTTCAGTAGGGAATTTGCACGGCGCCACGGACTACACTTGCTTGGAACAACTACTACTTGGTTCTTATTGGACATTGCCTATTACAGTTCCAACCTGTTTCAAAAGGACATCTTTAGTGCGATTGGCTGGCTTCCAAAACCTGAAACTATGAGTGCAACTCATGAGGTTTATCGGGTTGCAAAGGCGCAAACACTCATTGCACTTTGTGGCACTGTTCCTGGATACTGGTTTACAGTGGCTTTCATCGATTATTTAGGCAGGTTCACAATTCAATTGATGGGTTTCTTCTTCATGACTGTGTTCATGTTTGCTCTTGCCATCCCTTATCATCATTGGAAATCTCACAACGCTGGATTCCTTATTATGTACTCATTGACCTTTTTCTTTGCAAACTTTGGACCCAATGCCACCACATTTGTTGTGCCCGCTGAGATTTTTCCAGCAAGGCTGAGGTCAACATGCCATGGGATATCTGCAGCAGCTGGAAAAGCTGGGGCCATTGTTGGTGCATTTGGCTTCTTGTATGCTTCACAAAGTACGAACCCATCAGACACTGATGCAGGTTACCCACCTGGTATTGGAATGAAAAATTCACTGATTGTGCTTGGTGCCATCAACTGCCTTGGGATGGTGTTTACTCTTCTGGTGCCCGAGTCGAAGGGAAAATCATTGGAAGAGCTAACAGGTGAAAATGAAGAGGACGGTGATGAGATCCAGCAGACATCTTCTGTTCAGACCGTTCCGGTCTGAACTAGCAAAGTTTAACTAGGATGTTCCGACCAATTTATAAATTAGATATTCAGAAATGGAATGCCAAAAATAGGACAATGAAAGGAGCTGGAATTGTAACACTACAATAATGTCAGTGATTATAATCGCAAAGTTATGTTTTTTAATAATGATGTGATATTTTCTGTACAGTTATTCACGCTTGCCCTATTAATTGCTATCTTTCCTTAGAAGGATTATGTCCAGGGTCTGGATCTCCCCTGCACATTAAACTTCCTCGTATGTGCCAAATAGTAAAACATCAAATTAATGCTTTGCTTGTTTTGATAAAAGACTATTCTAAGCATAATAATTAAGTGACAGAGTAACGTATTCAAGCTTTAATGGTGGCTATAAAGTGAAACAAACCGCCCCTACCACTTGTTGGTGTATGTCTTATGTTATGGTATGTGTTAAGAGTCCTAATTTGTAGCTAGATCAAAGAGAAGCACTAGTGGCTGTTGGGATGCTTGATTGTTGTGAGTGGGCGAGCTGGCTAAGATCAATGCTTAAGAGGGGTCAGTATCATAAGTTATTAGTACTGTTAATTAGGGAGAGGATTAGTGCTGAAACTGTATAGATCAGGAGTTTGAGACATAGACCATGCTTATATGTGTGAGTTTATTATTGCTTTGGACTAACCTTTCTTCTTCTCTCTGTGTTTCTCTCAAAGACAAGCAATGTTGTCCCATCAACTGCAAACACATACAGGCTCGGTTAAACAACTCTATACACCACAAATATACAATTTAAAGCACATAAACTCGTGCTCGTGAACTGAGCCATAGCATGGATGCCGCTCCAACAAAGGTCATTCACTCAGTTGCAAGGGTCTCACTCTAATCAACAAAGGTTAATGCCCAAAAAAAAAAACAATGGTTAATGCCACTTTAGCCAAAATGTTAAGCTGCATGAATTCACCATGACAAGGTTTCCACAACTAACACGTCCATCATTTCCAGTACTTCAAATGCTGAGTATTCTATAAACTGTCATATTCATGTACTACAATAAGATAATGAGGTCTTTAATATTTCAGATAATTCAAAGAAAAAAGAAGTTACTCGAACCATTAGGTTAAAATGTAAATATTGAGAATTATCTTCCTCGATAACATTAAAATAGATTATTAATAAGATTAAATTTAAAATTACTTATTTCGAGACAAACAATCTTATTAATAGAATCAACTTATCGATAATGTATATAACTATATAATACATTATTATACAATGATACCTAAAGATACATATAGAGATAAAACATGTCAAAAATTAGATAAATACAACATATATATGTTGAAACTACTTGTATAATTGGAAAATTTTGATGCCTACAAATATTTAAGCATACATATTTTTGTATAATTTTGAAAATTACAATGTCTACCTATATTGTTGGAACGACTTTGAATTAATAAATAGTAGAAATTTTATAGTAGTAAATGTTGTTTAAGTTTAAGTTCATATAAATGTGACATTTAATTTACTTGGGGAAAAAATAAAAAATAATAATAATAAAGTGTTTTTTGGAGACATGGGCCACTGTGGCCTTAAAGGTATGGGCCACATAAACTTTATTAATTTCATTGGGCCAAATAAAGACCTGAAGCATTAGCGAGTCCAAAACAATTAAAAAGAAAGGTAGCCCAATTAAATTGGGCCGTCTAAGGCCTAATCTATTTAAGTAAAAGAAAAACAAACCTCAGTAAAAGTTAGAAATCATCAACCAGAAAGAAATAAAAAGGGGAGAAATAGGAGAAGAAGAAGAAGAAGAAGAGCAGCGCCAAACCAAACTATGTCGTCGGATCCCTACGAGAGAGCGAAAGGAGGAAGACTGACCTTCAAAGGAGGAAGCTTAGCCACTCGTAAATCCATCGACAAAAACAAGAAGAAGCACAAGAAGAAAAAGAACACCGACGACGAATCTCATCCTTCCCTCGACGACGTCGCCGACGCTTCCGCCGTGGAAGGCGCCGAACCGGGAGGAGATGTGTACACGATCGACGCGGCTAAAAAGATGAAGTACGAGGAGCTGTTCCCCGTGGAGTCTAAGAAGTTCGGTTACGATCCCAAAAATCCTCAAGCCAAATCGGTGGAACAAGCCCTCGATGATCGAGTCAAGAAAAAAGCTGATCGTTACTGTAAATGAGCTTCAATTGTAGCTTAAAATTAAAGCTTTCTGTATTATTAGTGAACAATTTAGAAATTAATTGCAATGATTCTGTTTTAGGGTTTCGGCTCAAATTCCTCATTCCTACTTGCATTACTCTCTCAATTTTCTGAATGTTTGTGGCTTGTGTTGAGGTTAGAGTTTCAGGGTTCTAATCAAATCAAATTATGAAAAATTTTACTCTGATAAGTATTCCTCCAGCCATTGCAACTTCGACACTGACCAAACTCATAACATCACAGCAATTGCTACACCCTTGCTAAAGCAGAAACAATTGACACACTTGTAAAATGTCATTCTGTCGTCTTGACTCAACTGCATTTGGTGCTGACTCAGATTACAGTATCTAACTCACGGGTTTGCTCTCTGCTCTCTATATAAAATTGTGTGTGCGGGATTCTGGCTAAGCATCTTTGTTAATACCCTTTCTTCCGTTTATAAATTCTATAATTTGAATTTAGAATTTCTACTCAAAATCCATCTTATTGTTACGGATTTTAAATAAATAAATCTTTTACTTATGTGATATGGGTTGTGCTCAAAATTTAAATATGAAATACAAGTAAAAATAATGTATATGGTCGCAACAAGTAATATAGTGATAAATAAAGTTAATATAGTGATAAGTAGAGTTGTTGATCCTTCGAGGAGTTGATTTACTATTTGTTACTAATTACTAAAATTGTAATAAGTTAAGTTTTATTCGAAACAAGTTGTTAAAATTGAAATAAAATTTACTCTAAAAGTTTACTTTAACCTAAAGATTGCAAGTTAAATGTGTAGTGAGAAAACAATGTATTTAAAGCCTAGGATTATGGCTTCAACTATTACTTTGTAAGGATACAAGATCAATTAATTACTTACTTTTTATGAGAATCAATGTTAGTCTAAGTTCCCTCAGCATGCATGATACTTCGTCGAATTATTACATAATTGCCTAGCTTCATTAACCATCTATACGTTTGTAGAAAATTAATTAAAACTAATTCACTAAGTTTAGGACCTATGTTGACTATATATGATTAATAGATATATGTCTATCCTATTAAATAATCACCTATTTTATTTTTTAATATAAGATGAATATATATTACTCAAATTTGGGTCTTTTTAGATTATCCTTCTCAGGCATCATCTAAAACCTCATACTCAACTTATTAGTGATCAAACAACAAATGAGACAATAAGCATAGAAGCAAGTAAAGAATGAATCCAAAATATTCCAATTACACAATAGCATTTACCATAATCCTAGATAAAAAACTCTAGCTCAACATGTTCAAAAAGAAAGTACACATTTCAGCAAACAAAAACATTGTCCTACAAAAAGAGTTAGAGAGAGAAACTTAAATCCAGAGTGAGAAAATGTTCTGTTGCAGCTTTTGGATCCTCCAGCTCTTGATTCCTTTTCTTTTTCCTTTTTTGTTCTTGCCTTTTTTGTCTAAAATGGTCTCTCCAAATCCTC